GTGATACAGGTCCTGTCACTCCCAGCTAGAAGGACAGCTAGTTTTGCTGTGCTGCAGCTAGACAAGCAGGTGAGCTTCTCGGACAACATCCAGCCAATCGCACTGCCCCCTGCTGCCCTCCAGCTCCCAGTGGGGGTAGGGGTGTTTGTGGTGTGAGGGGTAGTGTGTGGGCGGGCATGCCTATGGTGCAGCATGTGGCGGCCCAGTATTGGGTGCTCCTGCATTGAGCCACCAGCCTCACTGCACCCAACCATCTTCCAGGCTCTGAGTGCCTCCATGGGGGTGCCTCACGTCTGGCCGACTCCATTTCTGGGATACACCTGCAAGCCTGGAGGTAATGCTACCACTGCCCAGAGTCTGGACTGATTGTGGACCTGCGCCCTTTGGGAAACACAGGCTTGTAGTCCTTGAGGGTACTTGACCCACTGCAAGAACTTGGGGTGCTTCCCTCAGTCTGAAGCACAAATAGAGGTCTCCCTTAGTCAGCCGAACCAAGGGGACCCCAAGGCATAATCTAGACCAGGGATGGGCAATTATTTTGGGCGGAGGACTGCTTACTGAATTTTGGCAAGCTATTGAGGGCCACATGACAGGCAGCCAGGGGCAGATAAATATTAATTTTCTAAATTAATTTTCTAATTTTTTAGGGGCTTTGCAGGCCAGATAGAACGGCCTGGAGGGCCGCATCTGGCCCACAGGCCACATTTTGCCCACCCCTGATCCCACTCCCAATAAGTCTCCCATGGTAGGTACAAACGAGAACTTTATTGGTTACAAGGAGTAGGTTTGGAATGGGGTACAGTATAGAGCAATATCAGAGAAATACCTTAGAGCAAACAGTGGCATGGTAGCCTTTGATCACGCATCTGAGTTACTGCAAGTGATATATCTAGTTAGATCTCAGGTAGCTTACTGACACGTATCATCCAAAGGCAGGTGGAGATTCCCTCTGGAGACAAACAGTTCATTGATCATGAGTTTCAAGAGAGAGAGCGAGTTTCAGATGGCCCAGCTTCTCTCTGTGAATTTTCATCATGGCTACTGCCCCTACTCCTGGGCAGTCCTTAACTTATATAGCCCTTATGACCTCGTTTACCTGATCCAATGGAGGCCAGCACCTGTTGGCTGCCAGCTAACCAATTTGAAATGCATCATTGGTTGCCGTGTGGACTGGCAGGGTGTTTAGCCCCCTCCCCGTCATGTTGGCATTGCTTAGAATAAGGAGTTTAAGCCCCCACCCAGGTATGTGATGCCAGTCATGTAGGCAGACGAAGCAGGTTTCCCCCCTCCCTCAGGGATGTCTCCAGTTCAGGTTACAACTCAGGGTTACCTGAAGAGATGGGATCAGAGGAGTCTGCCCTTTGCAGTGACCATGATAACCAAATTGTCATATAGCAGAGTCTGGGGAGAGACAGAGATGGTATTCTGCCACACTGCCCAAGCCTGGGCCTGCACATTAGGGAGGCCACCTTTTTAAAATGTAAAGGCAGGACACATACCTGCCTCCTCTCTCCCCACCCCCGTCACTGGCATCGTCAGGGCAGAGCCAAGCGGGGTGGGGGTGGATACAGGCTGACCATTGCAGGCTCAGGGCTCCCTGCCCTGCTGCACTTCCCTGGGAGCCCTGCACCAGCCAGGCTCCCCCTGCCCACCCAGCAGCACTGAGCCTTCAGCGGGCAGCCCACATCCATCCCCACACAGCACACATCTGGAGGGTGTGGGCAGGGGTGGGCTGAGTGGCTGCAGTGCTCCCTGACAACGACTGGGTCTCTACAGGTGTTTGCATTTTGGGTTTGGCAGCCAGCTCTTAGCCCTTCCTACTCCAGGTGTGGAGATGGCCCCTACGAAGCCCTTACCCTTTCGCTTTCCCTGGGGTGTTTGGAGTAGGCTCAGTTTGTTCCCTCAGGGATGTTCACTTAACTCACCAGGCACTTCTGCACCCTGGAGAGAAAAAAAAGGCTCTCTTTGGGCTGAGGAATGAACCCATTAATGCCTTGGTTGTGCCCTAGGTTGGGGGAGGGACTTGGGTGGGTAACAGAAAAGAGGGCAGAAACAGCCATGAGTAGGAAGGTTAAGGGTCCAAAATTTCATGTCAGCTATTTCTGCATCTCACCTGGTCCAGGCATCAGTCATGGAGACTTCCTCTGTCTCCTTATCACCCTGCTCCTCAATGGCTGCCTTTTCCCTCTTGGGCAAGGGAAAATCCTTTCCCTTTCAGCTGAAGAAGAAAAATGCTCAGGTTTTTCTTCATTTGAACATTTTGGATTGTGAAGCAAAAGAAACAGTTTTATGGGACACATTCCCTAGAGTCACATGTTGTATGTTTTTCAGCCACCTCTCCCCCACAAAAAAAACCCAACCAAAACCCCAAAACCCTCTTTACAGATTTTTCCAAAATCTTTTATTCCTCAGTTTCATTTTCCACAAAAATATGTTTTGGGGTTATTTTTTCTGGAAAAGGGGTTTTTTTTCTTTCTCAAAAATGCTTTTTTGAAAACAAAGAAAACTTAACATTAACATGTAACAAATTTTTAGACGAAGAGGAAACTCAAAAAGTCAAATGTAAAATTTAAAAGCGATTGAAAAGAAAAAGCTGTGAAAGCAAATTTTTAATAACAGTACAAGAACTATTCAGCATGTTTTGCATAAACAGGCCACATCCAGATGAGCACCGGTGTTTGGTTCCCCAGGGACAACTAGCAGTGCCACACCTTCCTTGGAGAACGCCTGTGCCAAGCATGCCCTGGCATGCAACAGGTTACCCGGGGTGGGGTACGGGAGGCTGAGGCTGGCAACTGTGATGGGCTCAGCAGCCTTACCTGGGATCCTGGGGGCCCAGGAAGCTGCAGATGTGGCATTCCTGCAGCTAGGAACCTGGCTGACAGCCAGGATGGATGGCTACAATGGTCTGATGACTGTGGGGGGGCAGAGGACAGTAGGAGGTTAGGGTCAGGGCCACTGTTAGGGAATAATGGAGGAAAAGTAGGCACCGAGTGCTGTGGGGACACTGAGGAGTCAGGGCAACGGTGCATGGAATTGAAGGCAAATGGGGTTTGAGGAGAGGGCGCACAGTGAGAGAGAGGAGAGTTGAGGGGTTTAGGGAAGAGGGATAGGCAGTTGAGCCTGCAGGTGTGGGATCATGGTGGGGTTCCCCCTGCCTTCACCCAGGTGCCCTCAGTGTGTCAGCCAGTGGAGCTTCTGTCACCAGTGTGCTTCCCACTGTGGAGATGCCAACCACAGCTGTGGGGCAGGAAGTCTAGGTCACTCCCTTATCCCACAGTGAGCAGGCCTGCAACATGAGCAGCAGAAGGCATGGGATGTGGGGAAGAGCTCTTCCTCTTGTCTGAGGATGCATAAGGGCTGGATGCTTGAGAGTCATGCATCCTTGTCACTGCCTCATGGGGCCATGAATGCTGATGGTATCCCTGCAGATATCAAGGCTCAGAGGCTGGTGATGCTTGTGGGGTCTTTGGTTCCCATATGTCTGGCAGGGGGCAAAGAGGGCTTCAAGTATCCCTCTGGCTTAGGCTCCTCCTGCCAGCTGCCAAGGCTGGGGGGTGGGGAGGGTAGTGGTTTCCTCTCTTGAGGGCTGCAGTTGCTATGTGAATGCCTGTCCCCAGCCACTATCATAGCCATGGCTCAAGAGCTGCCCAGCAAGAGGTGGGGGGAAGGTATGCTACTCCCTCAGTGAGGGGGGTCAGATGGCTGGTTGATGGTTGGCCTCTCCCACCCCACCCATTTAGGCCTCGTGTTACAGGGTTATAGAGTTGTATGGAGATTATGATTATTGTGATCCACTGTCTTGGAGTGGGCCATCCTCACCTCATCTCCTGCTAGGTTATGCTCAGTTCTCTGTTCTGGAAGAGTGGAGGGGACCAGGCTATACCAATTTGCTCCTAGAAAGGGGTTTGCTGGACAGATGCTCATTTCTGGCAAAACACATCTTCCAAAATAAGAGTTTCCCAGCCCCTTTCCCCACATCTTGTCCATGCTGTGGTCAGGTTAATTGAGAGGGAAAGCTCACTTTCACTTTCACAAGTGTTGCTGGAATAAACCCTGGTGTAGCCAAGTATTGTCAGGGCACACAGAGCCTTTCCTACCAGTTCTGTGGGTAAGATCAGAACTGCACTGTACTCATTAGCAGGTCATAGAAAAGTAAAAGTAAAGTAGGGCTGGAAGGGACTTCTGCAACTCACAGAATCCCTTCTGCAGTCACACTTGGGTTGTGATTATGAAGAAGGAAGGTCTCAGTGGTGATGTTCCCATCATGGGAGCCAGAGGTTAGGTGTCCTCAGGATGCTGAAAAACAGTTATTTCCTGAATCCATCTCCTCCCCCCCGCCATGTAACAAGCAAAGCAGTGAACTCCCCTGGGAGTTCCCTAAGATAAAGAAAGTAGTTGAGAACCATAGTTGGTAGGGTCAGAAGGGACCTGAGCAGATCATCAAGTCCAACCCCTTGCCATGGGCAGGAAAGGATGCTGGGGTCAAATGACCCCAGCAAGGTGTCTATCTAGCCTCCTTTTAAAGACCCCAGGGTAGGAGTGAGCACCACTTCCCTTGGAAGTTGGTTCCAGATCCTAGCCGCCCTGACTGTGAAGTAGCGCCTCCTGGGCAATGCAGGGATATTCCATTTATTACCTCATCAAACTTCTTCTCCTGTGGGAGCCTGGGGACCTGCCTGGTTAACATAAAACAAGATAATAAAAGGATGGTAAAAAACCCCCCAAAACAATGGTGATGTCCCAGATGTCACAGGAAGGAAAAGAAAGGGGTTGCCTTGCTACCATAGGTAGTAGCCTAGGACTGAATAGTTCAAGAAAGGATGTCTTTTTTTCCCATGCAGCTTTGGTTTTGTATCCCTCCAGCTCTTATCCTCTCTGCTACCTGGCTCCATCACCTAGCTCTTACCTATTGTCTTCTCTGTCCCAGCTGCTGCCAGAAGCTACCACAACATCCCACAGGGGATACCCTACCTGGAAGCAGGAGGGAGCTGGGGGCATTACAGTCCAGGTGCAGGACCCTCACTCCCACTGCCCAGGGAGGATGAGGGAAACTGTCTCCCATTCTGTGCGACTGTCCTGCTCTTGTGGGTTCGCTGGTGCTTGCTTAGGGAAGAGCTCTGCCGGAAGAACTTCAGGCATTGGGCACAGCGGTATGGCTTTTCCCTCGTGTGCACGCGCCGGTGCTTTATGAGCGATGAACTTTGATTGAAGTTCTTCCAACACTGAGCACAGGAGAATGGCTTTTCGCCCATGTGCAGTCGCAGGTGCTGTTTGAGCGTGGAGCTCTGTGTGAAGCCCTTCCCGCACTGACTGCAGCAAAATGGTTTTTCCCCCATGTGCATTCGCTGATGGCTGTTGAATGTGGAGCTCTTGGTAAAGCTCTTCCCACACTGGGCGCAAGAAAATGGCTTCTCCCCTGTGTGCACACGAAGGTGGTTCGTGAGCGTTGAACTCTGGGTGAAGCTCTTCCCACACTGGCTGCAGGAGAAGGGTTTCTCCCCTGTGTGCACGCGCAGGTGATTGGTGAGGTTGGAGCTCTCAGTGAAGCTCTTCCTGCACTGGCTGCAGGAGAAGGGTTTCTCCCCCGTGTGCATGCGCAGATGCGTGGTAAGCGTGGAGTTCTTGGTGAAGCTCTTCCCACACTTCCTGCAGGAGAACAGCTTCTTCCCCGTGTGCATGCGCTGGTGCTGTGTGAGTGTAGAGCTATCTGTGAAGCTCTTCCCACACTGCAGGCAGGAAAACAGCTTTTTCCGCATGTGCACACACATGTGGCTTTGGAGGTAATCCCACCTGGTGAAGCTCTTCTTGCACACGGTACAGCGGTACAGCTGCTCCCCCACGTGCACATTCTGCTGCACTCGGAGCTCGCTCAGGGAGACAAAGCTCTTCCCGCACTCTGGGCAGAGGTGGGGGTACTCCCCTGAGTGCATTCTCTGGTGCCCGAGGAGAAGGCATGTATGGTAGGAGCTCTCCTTGGGCTCAGCACAGGGTTGGCCATACCATCCCCAGTGGGTTCCCCTGTGAGCCCCAAGTTTCTGTTTGTCTCCAAAGCTGTCATCAGGCTCTTCACATATATGCAGCCCCTTCCCTCCAGGAACTTTGTGGCTCTTCAGGTCTCTCTGCCCTTCAAATCCTCCCTGGCTCCTTTGCGTCCCCACTCTTCTCTGTACCTGTTGGCTGAGGAGCTGGCTTCTGGACTGAAACATCTTTAGGTAGGCAGGCCCTTCCTCAGGAGGCTGCTGCTGCTCAGCTCTGCCAAATGTCTCAACATCTGCTGAGCGGAGATAGGAGCCCCAAAATTAGTCCCTCCCCAGCTGGCAAAGGGAAAGATGTGCTATTTCCCTGTGCTGGGATGTGCCCCAGAGCACAGCTGGGCCTCAGTTACTCCGTAAGAACAAGTGGTCCAATTCAACGTGGACTCTGGGTCTCGAGTCTCACAGCTTGCACCCCGTTGTGCTCCAGTTACGGAGCAGAATGTGGGCCATTCTCATGGAAATGAGGAGGTGCGTGTATCCCCCCAAAACACAAAAGCCTGGGAATCTCAACTGCACTCAGTAGGCATTTCATGTAGCCAGAGGTATTGATTGAACACTGCTTTTATTACCCTGACTGTTAAAGAGGGGAGGAGCAGAGTTCCAGTTCAAACTAAGCAACAGGACTAGCAGCACTGGGTAGCAGACAGCCAGCCTCTCTACAACCCAACCCTTAATAACCTCCACAGGATTTCTGCCAACTCTGATAGTTGGCATGAGGCAATTCAGACACGACCATGCCCTGCTAGAGGATATAACAGAGGCTTAGCCACCTTGGGCTGGCCTATCAACTCTGGCATTGCTGAGGGGGGATGCCAATTTAAGCTCCTGGTACCCCAGGGACACCAGATGTGTGCCTCATCGAGACGCAGGCTAGGGCTTTGTCCCTAGCACTTTATTACTTCCCTGTGGCCAGCCCCTTCCTTCCATGACAGAAACTGAGAGGAGGGTGAGAGGAGAGTCATGTCTGAAGGGCTGAAGGCAGATTTCCTGCCCAAACAGCCCTAATTAGAGGAAGAAGAAGGGACCAGTTGCCTGTGCCTGCATCATTGAAGTGCAAAGAGTGGGTACACACACCTACCTGGACAACACAGATCTGACTAAGCTGTGTGATGCCAGGACCTTGTGGCAGCAGCTCAAGGCAAGTGTTCAGGTGTCCGGCTCCCCCTGGGTATTGAGAGCTCCTGAGCAGAGGTGTGGGTGGAAGTGGGGCAGGGATTTTCAAGATTTACCTGGAGACAAGTCCTCAGACAATGATCTTTCTCCAGCTTCCTCCTCATCCCAGACCCAGAGCTCCATCTCCCCTCACTGGATGCGGCAGATTAAGTCTGGTGTGGGACCTTGATATCCTGTGTTGGGGAGCGTACATGTTATTCCACCATTCGGTACCCAGTTGGGACTTGGACAAAGGATCCAATGGACTGAAATATTCTAGTGGGGATTCAAAGGAGGACACTTGGGAAGGAGGACACTTAGGCCAGTGTGGGAGCTCTGTAGACTGTTTTGGGGAGTGTATAGAGAATGGCTATTTCACCATCCAGAGCTCAAATGGGATTTAGAGAAAGGACCCAATGGAGTCAAACATTTTAATGTGGAGTGAAAGGAAAGGAGGGCATTTAAGGTAGACTACAGGCCACTACAGGTAGAAACCTTCAATAGATCATGGGATCTATCACCCAAGTAACTGGAATGATGGTTTTATGAAGTATAAAGCATCAACCCCTCAGACGTATATAAAGGGTAAAAAGCTCACAGTGGGATCAAGGGAGGTGGGCAGAGATGTGGTGATTTGTGATGTGCAAGGAGGTCAGCATCCTTGACGCTGTATAGATTTTTGAGATACTGATTTGAAAATAGAGATGGTAGACAAACTCATAGCCATGCATGCAACTTTTTAAAGAGTAATTTGAGGTGAAAAAAATGGGTTTATTCTCAATAAATGTTTGCAGTGATGGTTCTTTAACGTAAAGAGCCAGTGACACACTGATGACAATGAAAGCTTGGATATGGGAGAGAAAGTAATTAATTTTGGCAGTGCATAGAAAAGGAGGATGTTATAATAACTGTTGAGACAACTATAGCAGCCTTTTCATCCAATGGGTGGATCCTCACAGGAGGTGACGCCTAGTTGCATATGTACTTAGGATACGACTGGCTACATCTACACGAGACGGTGACTGAGCAGGAGTGTCATGTGGCAGAAAGCGTGAAGTGACACTACTGTGCAAGCAGTCAGCATCATGAAAAAGCCATTAGTTGGCTGGGCCGGGCTGTGGGACAATCTCCACAGTGCAGGAGGGAGTGGGGCAGGGGCAGGGGTGAATGATATGCCCCTGCCCCATTCCCTCTTGCACTGTGAGGGGCTCGATCCCCAGCCCCACTCCCTCCCTCACCACTGGGGAGGAGGTAGATTGAGGCCCTGCAATGAGGGAGGGAGCAGGGCAAGAACAGGGGCTGGGGTGAGTGGGACCCCAGCCGGGCCAGGTGGTGAGACAAGCGGACGCCCGGGCGGCCTGACCCCAGCCCCTGCTCCTGCCTGTGCTGTACTCCCTTCCTCACCGCGGGGACCTTGATCTACTGCCCCCCACCCCCGACAGCTCTTCCCCTCCGCACATCTGCTGGGGGGGATGTGTGCGCATGCACGCGCTCAGGCCCCCCAAATATTTTATCCCTCCACCTATGCATTGCCTGCCCCAGCCCCACTCCATCCCTCCCTCATCACAGGGGTCTCAATCTGCCCCCTGCACCATTAAAAACAAGAAAAAAAGGCGTACATAAGCTGAAACTTTGAGACCAAAGGGGTACACTTGTTAAAAAGGTTGAAAACCTCTACAATAGCTTATTGAATAAGCTATTAGATACAAGCACCAAAAAGCCCTGCTGAAGTGATCTATACAGACACTGATCTATATAGATCAAGTGCTATCTATACAAGACTCTATCTATACAGACACTGCAGAATTGGGTCAAAGTAATGCACTTCTGCTTCCAGGAAAGCACATTTTTTAAAACTCCTGTAAGCAGCCTGAGAGCTGCAGACCCAGTCACAGGGCTGGAAGGAGACTGGGCTTGGGGATGTAAGCCTAGTCTCAAGCCATGCAAAGGGCAGTCCTTGCCTGTGGCAGGGAGAGGGGCCTTTGGGAGCTCAGGCTGCAGATGGGCACACAAGCCACCCAGGGGAGCTGGGGGAGAAGACTCCCATGAAGGTCAGGCCTGCAGGTGACATGGACCCCAAGGAGGGAAACGCTTTGTTTTATGCAGCAGGTGGCTTGTGTTTTTGTTCTGTTTGAACTCGACACTGGAGGACTGGGTTGTGGCTACAGTGGTGGAGGAGACCACAAACAGGGATGCCAGGGTGCGACTGCCTGCTATAGGGACTGGATGTTAGCTCCAAGCCAGAGGAGCAGAAACTAGCATAATGAGGCTAAATCCACAAGAGGGGCTGCTGTTAAGACCAGGCCAACACCCAGGAGCTGAGGTCTTCATCAGTTCATGAAGGCTGAAGGTGCAGCCAAAGAGAAAAAGAAGGCCCAGCTGTGACAGCTAAAGCCCAGAAAAGCCCTCAAACACCTATGGGAGCACTCCCTTTAAGGGGAACACTGTGGAAGGGCAAAGGCCCTACATGGGACTGGCCTGGCCAAACAGACCAGGCTACCCACATGGCTCCAAGGCCCCTGCCCCCAACAACAGACAACCGGAGAGTCTTGACAGGCGAAAGAAAGGAGGTGAAGTTGACTGGGAAGGAGCCTGCAAGTGGGGCGGACCCTACAGGTCCTATAATGGACACATCCTGGCTTTCTCCGTTTACAGGGACGCACCCCAAGATTCCCTAAGCATGTCTCTTAAAGAGGGGAAAGCCAGGCAGGTGCCCAGGGTCCCAATCCTTCTTGGAAAGTCCAGGGGCCCCTCAAGCTACAGAGCAGCTAGTGAACATGGGAAGCTCCCCCACCACTAAGCAAACACATGTCCACTGCAAGCAAGCAGCACAGTCTATTACCAGCTTCGTCACAGCCATGAATTTTAGGTGTCTGTGGTGCAACAAAGGGCATGGAAGACTTTTTGCTTCAGCTTTATGCCTCCATAACCACTTTTTTTTGGAGGCACAAGGGTGAGGACAGGCAACATCTCTTGTCACCATTAGAACACTGAAATGTGACTGCCTGCTGGGATTGTTACGGGCTCGGACCAAATACAATAGGAAAGAGAGAGGAAGGTGGACTCATTCACAAGGGATAACTGCTGGATGAATGAATTGAAGATGGTACAAACATGCTGGGATGGCAAAAGGGGATCATCTTAGAAATAAGCTGCTGGACATGTAAACAACAGGGGTGAGAGCAAGGGGAAGACCCCAGTGAAGGCGTCTGTAACAAACGGGAGGATCTAAAAACACGAAGCGGACAAGAGGCCTGAGTGATGGCAGAGCAGTGGGGTGAAAGTGGATTTAAGCCATCAGCCAGAATGCAGGACATGCCTATAAAGAAACAGAGGAGAACGGGATATTCCTGAACTCACACAGCTCCAGAAGGGGGAAAACAAGAACCAGAACATTACCCAAGGAAACAAGGACTTGGTAATTCCTCAGCATCTGGTCCTGGTAAAGCCCCTCGTCTCCAGCTTCCAAC